TACAGGGGTTTAGGGTTTTGGGTTTTACAAGGGTTTAGGGGGAAGGGTTTTACAAGGGTTTGGGGCTTAGGGTTTTGCAAGGGTTTGGGGTTTAGGGTTTGGCAAGGGTTAGTTTAGGGTTTTAGTTTTGTGGGTTAGTATCTTATTTGGAGGAGTGTATGGTTATCAGATACTTGGGCCCTGAGGGTAAGCCACCAAAGGCTACCCTAAACCCTAAACCCTAAACCCTAAACCCTAAACCCTAAACCCTAAACCCTAAACCCTAAACCCCTAAACCCTAAACCCTAAACCTAACCTAAATCCCAAACTCTTTCAGCCCCTAAACTGATAAAAGTCTAAGAAGCCCTACCCGTAAGGATCCACGTATAGGTTGAGGGTTTAAGGCCAAAGGTTGGGTTTAGGGTTTAGGGTTTACGGTTTAGGGTTTCGGGTCAAAGATTTCGGATTTTGGGGCCTTAAAAGGAGATCATAAGCCCCCACAGGCAGCTCGGGCTCATGACGTAGAGGTCTGCATCCGCCGATCCATACGTGGCTCCGACGAAGCTGTCCGCCGCCCACAGATCAGTCAGTGCCTTTGCATCAGGGATTAGGGGTTCAGGGTTTAGGGTTCAGGGTTAAGGGTTTACCCAGAGGGTCCATATATACTACCATTATGGAATTAGGCACTAAAAAAACAATTAATATTAGGTTTTGGGGGGGCCTAATTCCATAATGGTAGTATATATGGACCCTTAAGGTAAGGGTTCAAGGTTCAGGGTTTAGGATTTCATTCAAAGTTGTATCTTAGTTGCTGAGTCGAGGAGACCCAAAACATGTAAGCCTTCAGTTTAGGGTTTAGGGTTTAGGGTTTAGGGGAGAAGCATTATCCCAAAAAGTGAAAAGTGTACTCACTCAGCTATAAAGGTATAGCAATTCCGGAAGGCTCCATGTGCCTATATGATCTATACCATCTCTTAAGTCTTCAGGTGCCTGCATAGGAATCCCTTATAAGCCCTAAACCATTAGGACCCCATTTAAGGGCCCACGGTTTTGCAGTGACTGCGGGGACTGCTGTGAAACTCTCCCAGAGGGTCCAGATATACTACCATTATGGAATAGGCCCAAAAAGACCATTCATGTTTGATTTTTTGGAGCCTAATTCCATAATGGTAGTATATATGGACCCTTAGAATCTATGAGAAGCAGCTGAGGCGGAAGAAGTTTTTGATCCTGGAGAAGGCCTGGCAAGAGCATTCCGGCTCCCGTCTGACCTAAAGGGCTGGTGGTTTGGGCTTAGGGTGTGGGGCTGCAGCTTATTATGGGAAAACCTTACCTCCTCAACCCTCAACCCTCAAACCCTACAGCCCTAAACCCTAAACCCTCAAACCCCACAGCCCTAAACCCTAAACCCTCAAACCCTACAGCCCTAAAGCCCTAAACCCTCAAACCCTAAAACCCTAAACCTTAAACCCTCAAACCCTACAGCCCTAAACCTTAAACCCTCAAACCCTACAGCCTAAAGCCCTAAACCCTCAAACCCTACAGCCCTAAACCCTAAACCCTCAAACCCTACAGCC